TTTCAGGGTGATTCCCCTGATCATCAGCAAACCTACTCCAGCCCCAGTAAAATATTAACGCTGTGCCAATTGGATGCCATCTTTCACCCACAAAATACAGTCAATCCACTTTCAATATAGTCTGTGAAGCGCTTTGAGACATCCCAATGATGTAATGAAGCACACCAAAATGTTATATGGAAAATATTTACAGTCTACTAAAGGGTTAAGAGCATGGCCTTTGTTTTGTACGCCATGAATCACTGTCTCCCGAGTTAAGACCTACCGATGCCTACCATGCTCTACTAGCTTAGAACACAATACAGTTTTAATACAAATTAATTATGGGCATCATCATTATGTGAGCCTGTCATTTGGTTAAAATTGAACTTGGCTAGTGCAGCAACACTGTGCCTATGAATGTTAAGAATGTTTTGGGCAGGAATCTGCAAAATATGCTGAAACGGCAACAACCTTCAGTTCTAAATGGAAGCTCATAATCTCATTTGAAGCAAAAGTGCTTATACTTGCACAGTGTAAGATCAGGTTCAGCATTTACAAACCCTAACGGTTATATATTGAGAATTTCTTTAATGATGTGCAGGAAAGAAAATATTTTAACAGTAATGGGTGCATATCAGGGATTGTGTACTGATCTCTGTGTTTTTTTCAGGCTAAATAATAGTGCTTAAGTTTTTCTTTTAAGACAGATCAGGAAGGATTTGCAGTGGCTATAGGAATGGTTAGGTCTGGAAGACTGAGGCAGACATCTCTCTCTAGTCAGCGATAGATAATAACGCTAATCTCAGTACTGAGGAACGTATCAGTGTCTACTTTTCAATTTGCAGACCAAGCATTATGTAAATAATACAAATGCTTCTCAAGTGTAATCTTAACTTGTTTTGCAGCAGCTCAGAAGTGTGTCCAGTGCTGTCGCTACATTATCCAGATATCTCCAATACACAGAAGGGTTATTAACTTCAGAAACCATTAACTTTCTTTCAGTTAGTATTTTTAAGATGATACCAAACAATTTTATGATGCAAATATTATCATCAAATAGAAACTTAAACCTGGATAAGCTCTTTAGTCTGTGTAAAATACATTGAATAATTTCTGTAAAGACCTCAGGAACAACTTTATGATATGTTTTTTAACTCCATGAAGGAATTTATTTTCTTTCTTTCTTTCTTTCTTTCTTTCTTTCTTTCTTTCTTTCTTTCTTTCTTTCTTTCTTTCTTTCTTTCTTTCTTTCTTTCTTTGTTAACAACCTAATGTATTTTTAAATTTTTTTTTAAAAGGGATTATTACCCCTGGAAATGCGATCCGACAATAGAATAACAACCAGGTTTCTATTTATTGCTAGGTAAACAGAGGCTATGTGTCTCAATTTGGAGGCCAGGTTAAGCACAACTAGTTCCCGCAGTAGCTGGACTGCAGCATCATGTCATCCTAGATCAAAGCGGTTAGCAAAGTAATGTTCATGTGTTCCAATCAATATCCATTGCAATTCCAAAAAGTCATCTCATCGTTGTGAGAGGTTTTAAAATAAAAATAAGAATCCTACCATTCAGAAAGCAGAACTTCTGTAAAAAAAACAACCAATATTGGCTGCTCTATTGATCCAGTATTTGGGTCACATTTGTTGATTCCAGAGCATTGAAAGTTCCTATCTCATTGATGGCTTGGCTAAACTCAGTACCTGAGGTCATTGTTAAATTTACTGACCTTGACTACGTGACACTACAATGAGCCAATTACATGAGGTACTTGCCAAAGTCAGTAAATTTACTGTTGACCAGAGATCAGTTCTGTGGTGCTTTATTTATTGATTGTATTGATGTTATTGATGACTAAATAGTTTTTTTTAAATCTATTTGAGTCAATAAATGTTCTTTTTCTGGGGGAAAGTCAATCGATTTAAAAAAAGATTTTCCCGGCATTACATTTTTTTAAAAATTGATGATTCCCCCCCCATCCCCCCACAGCATATGTGATGGTGAAAGCACATTTCCCACCTCCCCTCCTCCCCTGTGTTGCAATACCTGTTCCAGGAATGTGAATGCAATGCATTGTGTGCACAGGTAAACTTGTTCTAGGAATGTGCACATATCACATTGCATGTGCCAACAAGTAGATGTTCCAAAATAAGTCCTGATTTTCACAGAATTTACCCAGAGTAACTGTGCTAAATGTTCTTCCTATCCAATTTTCAATCTTTAGACAGAACAGGTTTATAATAATAATAATCCTTGCATTTGACATAGAGCTTTTCACGTCTTCTAGTCGTCTCAAAGCGTTTCACAGAATATACTGTAAAGTTTTTATAAAGTTTTTATTTCATCAATAAAAACTAGTTTTATTGATCCTTAAGTGATACACAGTCTGAAACCACCTGTCCTGTTTAGATTTACTTCAGTGTGTAACAGGGAGATGTTTAATTTAAATGCAAAAGTATCTTGTTAAGAGTCCACGTCAGACCACTGCACCACGTAGGCTGTTCATTCATTGTTCACTATAGCCACTCAAAGCACTTTCTAAGCCTGGAATAATTTTTTAACATATTCCCATTTGGTAAATATCTCACCTTTTGGAAAGAGTGCATAATCTATTATGTGAATTGCTCCGAAACATGTTGACATGTTAAGGTGCTAATATAGAATGCAACTATTGTGTTTCTACACATCGTATTTGGGTGACTTTATAATCCAATATTAATATTCCCAACATTAAAATCACTACAATTATAATGGATAAATATCCTTCTCTCCAGTGAATGCAGTCTCCTTTCTCCCTCATATCCGCGCCACAACTGGCACCGCCTTCCATCACCTCCGGAACATCGCCAGACTACGGCACTACCTCACCCCTCACGCTGCTGAAACTCTGGTCCACGCCTTTATCACCTCAAGGCTGGACTATGGGAACTCTCTCCTCGCCGGCCTTCCCGGCACCTCCCTCCACAAGCTGCAGGTCATTCAGAACTCTGCAGCTCGTGTACTGTCCCGCACCAGGCTTCGGGACCACATCACTCCCACCCTCGCTCGCCTCCACTGGCTCCCCATCCCCCAGAGGATCGAATTCAAGATCCTCATCCTCATCTACAAGGCCATTCACGCCCTTGCTCCCTCCTACCTCTCTGACCCACTATCCCGCACTTACCTGCCCGTACTCTCCGTTCCTCTGGCTCCGGTCTGCTCCACATCCCCCGCCCCAACTGCCCTACCATCGGTGGCCGGGCCTTCAGCCTCTCAGCCCCTAGGCTCTGGAATTCTATCCCCCATTGCCTTCGCCTTGCCTCCTCCCTTTCCTCCTTCAAGGCCGATCTCAAGACCTTTCTCTTTGACCGTGCCTTCAGCTCACCTCTCGACTCTCTACCCCCTCCTCGCTCCCTCCCTTCCCTCCCCTCACCCATTTCCCCCCTGCTCGGGGCCTGACCCAACTGTACAGTGCCTTAGGACGTCCTCCCGACGTGAAAGACGATCTATAAATGGAAACTTGTTGTTGTTGTTGGCTCATTTGGAGAGTCTTCTCTTTATCCACCTCCTCCTCAGATAATAGTGCCGGCTACATTTGGAGCATGTCCCATTGTTGGAACGTCCTCCCAACGTGAAAGGCACAATAAAAATATAATTTGTATTGTATTAGCACAAGCTCCTATATACACTTTGCTAAGACTGCAGTATTGCTCAGTTCGTATAGTCATCTAACTGACTGATTGAGTTCCTCAATGTTCAATAAACCTCAGATCCCTAGCACATAAAATAATTCTTGCATTCAATATAGAGCCTTTCATTTCGGAGGCCATCTCAAAGCACTTCACAGAATTTACTGTAGTGTCGTGACTGTGTATTTTTGCAGGCTAACACACAAGCAATTAGCACAAGCAGTCTCACAAATAGCTATGAAGTGAATGAACCATTTTATGTGCGGGTTTGTTGACCAGTTTGAGAAGACCACAAAGTAGTCTTGTGTCACTTTGTCTTTGCACCAGTATGACTGCAGTTTAGTATCATTCATCCAGGAATGTATAAGGGACGCGGCACATGACAAATGTCCTTGATGTTGTGTGATTGCCTATCTGAACTTTCACCCTCTCTGCCTGTACAGTATAAAGGGCGTGATCACTCAAGAAACAACTGTTTGGTTTTGCTGAAGGAAAGGGGTGAACTGTGTGCTTTTAAAGCTGAGGATTCCCTGGGAAATAGATCTTTTTGTACCTGATGCAGTATTGAGCATTCCCAGGCCAGGTACAACATACACTGATCTTGCCTTCTACTTTTGTCCATCAATGTGCTGTGTAACCAAAATTATGGATGAGCGTAAAATTATTTTTTTTATTAATATTTTTATTCCTACCAGAGTTTTTTGCAAAACCAATATCTATCCCGTTGCCTTTGCAGAAACGCCTAGATTTTTAATTCTCAATTTTAAAATTTATTATCATTGTGCACTGCCTCTAAAATTAATAAATAACATTCCATTTCCAATTTAATAGTTATAGTTGCTTCTTTTATGGAGGGCCTCTTTGCACATTGACACTTTCACACAAGTTTAATGATAACATTCTTATTGCAGCATAAAACTTTGGCTCTCCTGACAGCCTAATGGATGAAGACCCCACCTGTTTCAGTATGAAGTTGTGCAGGTTGGATTTCTGGTCTGTACTGAGTTAGCTGATTCGGTAAGGGCAGGAGTTGGGGAACATACTGCAGTTAGCCTCAGTGTCCCTGGGTTACAGAGGGGTCAACAGCCAGTGCTCCTGCTCCTGATCGCCATCCACTAATTCCTGATGAAAAATAAATAATAATTAATCCTTGTAGGTGCAGGTAAATGAGAGAAATGCATTTCGGAAAGGGAAGAAAATAGAAAAAACGGTGAAGTTTTGTTATTGAATCTACAATCTTACAATAGTCTTATCATTTTATGAAAATATATGATTTTTTGAATTGTGAAATATTATTCCTCAGTGCAGATTTGACAAACTACTACTTAATCATGAATATTTTCCTTGTTGCTAGGTTTAGAATACGTTAAACAGAGAATGCAAGAGGCAGTGGGGTGCACTGAGAAAAGAGAGGAACCACCACATCCCAAAGAGAAAAAAACACCTTCACCCAATGATACTCCTCATTTCTACAGGAAAGGCACAACTCCATCACACAGCCCCGAACAGAGTCCTGGTCCCACTCCCCCTCCTTCACCACCAGTGTACAAGAAAATGGCAAATGCAAGCGGGAATAAAGAGTCTGGTAGTAATGTAAGCAAGGATGCACCAGCAAACCAGCCAGCGGCAAAATACCCATCCAAGATGAGTGCTAAACAAGGCAAAGACGTGAAACCTCAGCAAAAGCCAGCAGTCTATAGTCACCCCAGTGCTGGTAATGGACAGGTGCATACCGAATATCACAGTTACTTTGTCCGTTCAGAAGTGAAACTGCCACCTGAAGTTCCAGAGGAAGATGCCAATCCTCCACCAATAGGGCTAGGACGGCTACCACCCCCTACGAAGGCCACAGCCTCACGGTTACCGGGTACGAAGGCCCCTGTCAAAGAAAGCAAGTCTGAGCCAAAACAGAAGAAACCACTGACCACCACAGCTCCTGAACCAAAAAAACAATCAAAACCACTATCAAAATCCCGTGCGATTAAAGAGGAAAAAACAGAAGAAATTGTAGAGTCAGTAAGTATTATCCATCCCAACAACAACAATTTGCATTTATATAGTGCCCTTCATGCAGGTTAGCGTCAGTGGCGGAGTCTAACAATGAGCCGGGGGAAGAGGGAGGGAGGAGGTTACCGTAAGCACAATCAAAAAGGAAGGTCTTTAGGCAGCATTTGAGGGAGGCAGAGGGATTCAGGGGGAGAGTTTCGGGGCTTAATGTTAAAGGCAAGGCCACCAATGGTGGAGCGGAGGGAACGGGGGACAAACAGGAGGTTGGCAGCAGCCGAGCGGAGGCAACGGGTGGTGGAGTAGGGGGTAAGCAGGTCGGATAGGTAGGGAGGTGCGAGGGCATGAAGGGATTTGAAAACAAGTGAGAGGATCTTGAAATTGATCCATTTGATAATTGGGAGCCTGGCAAGACTGGTGTGCTGGGGGTACGGAGTTTTGTGCGAATGAGTATCCGAGCGTGGGTTTTTGGATTAATTGAATCTTGTGTATGGTGAAGCTGGGGAGACCAACGAGGAGGGCATTAGAACAGTCCAGCCAGGAAGTGACAAAGGCGTGGATAAGGATTTCAGCTGCGTTGGTTGTGAGGTACGGTCGGAGGCAGGCAATGTGGCGGAGGTGAAATCAAACGGTCCTGGTCAGGGAGTGGTGTGGGGTAGAAAGGAAAGCTGGGGATGGAACCTGACACCTAAGTTGCACATGCGTTTGGTGAGTCTGTGGGAGAGCCCGGGGAGGTTAAGTAGTTCAGACCCACAGGAGAGAAGACGTTGACAGGAGCCAAAGAGTATGGCTTCCCTCTAGCCAACATTCAGCTGCAGGAAATTTGCGCTCATCTAGCTGACAGGACGTCAGTGGACTGGGAGTCGCAGCTGGAGGAGGAGAAGTAGAGTTGAGTGTCATCCACATTCATGTGAAAGTTGACCCCATGTCTGCGGATGACATCACCGAGAGGGAGCATATAGATGAGGAAGAGAAGGATGGAGCCCTGGGGTACCCCGCAGGTGACCCAGTGGGAGCAGGAGGAAAAAACATTTGCGGAAATGTATTGGTGGCGGTTTGATAAGTAGGACTCGATCCGGACGAGTGCAGTCGCACTGAGGTGGATGAGGGAATAGAGGCGGTGGAGGAAGACGGCTTGATCAACTGTGTTGAATGCGCAGGAGAGGTCCAGGAGAACGAGGAAGCAGTGGAAGCCCTGGTCACAAAGAGAGAGGACGTTGTTTGTTACTTTAACAAGCGTTGTCTCTGTGCTGTGGGCTGGGAGGAAACCAGACTGGAGGGGTCGGGTAAGGAGTGGAGGGAGAGTTTTGATTCCAAAACTTTGGCCAGGAAGGGCAAAGGGGGACATCCCAGTAAAAGACAAGGAGTTTCTCCCAGTGTCCTGGCAGACAATCCCGTAAATAAAGTTGATTATTTGTTTCACGGCTGTGCACAAATTGACAGCAGTGTTTGCCTACAAATACACAGTCACTGCCTTTCACAGTAAAAAAAATCCTGTGAAGGGCTTTGGTATATCCTCTTGACATGAACAGCGGTATAGCAAAATGTAAGGATTATTTCTCTTTGATACACTGTACAATGTAACAACAAGCAAGCAGTTGTTTAGTTTAATTCTGCAACAACCCTCATTTCTGAAACACTGACAAGTTTGAGCGTAAACACCAGCACAGACTAGACTAACCGGTTACTGTGCTGAGAAGTGTGGAGTAAGGAAACTTACCCAACGTCCTGTCCGTGAATCGAACCCAGGTCCTCTCACTTGTGTGGCGAGCGCTCTAACCATTAAGCTAAAGGACTCCACCCTCCAGTAGTTAGAATGCACACTCTCTCCCCAGAGGGATGAACCCTGCTTACCTGATTCTAAAGAGTACCAGTTATAGGTTGACAAGAACCATGGCTTAGGGATCCCAGAGCATATGATGGGGTACTACTGCTGGAGTACCTTATCTCAAAGTCGTGCCTCCATGCTTCGGTTTATGCTCCTTTGTATCGATTGCGCTCCTGCCTCCCTTGCATTATTACCTGAACAAAGTTAAGAAACTGTTTGCAAGATTTTTGTCCTTTTATTGTGGTTTGTTTTGAATTGTTTTGATCATTTCCTTTTTATTTGAGGGCTATGTTTCAAATTGAGTTCACACATGACAAAACTGAGGCTAGTTTCTCATCATAATCAGACTATTATTATTACATCGGTCACCTTTTGACAGGTCCTGAAGACCAAGAATTAGAGTAATGTAACTGCATAGTCAGACAACACTGGAATCCAGAGAGGTTTACATCACCACACAAAGTTACTCCTGGCAATGCAGCATCAGGGAGAAACTTAACCAGTGTGACTTAGAAATGCTTAATGACCGTTATGTGTGCGAGACAGGATAAGTCTGAGAGGTGCTTCATTTTGGGAAGAAAATGAGTGGGTAAAAGACTTATGATGGTGAACTGAAATTGCACTACCTGATTAATCAAGTTATATCAGTTTCATTAATAACAACGATTTCTAACTGATTTTTGCAGAGTCCTAATACTATCTTGGTCATCCTCGTAATGCTGTTGAATATTGGTTTAGCCATTCTTTTTGTCCATTTCCTGACTTGACAAGAGTTTGCCCACGGTAAGAATTTATTTTTCTTTGTTGAAAATTACATTGCAAATTGCTCAACATTATTGCTGTACTTTACCCTTTTATCTTTTCACCTTATTAAACTGTATGTATTTTGCTGTCTAACTTTAGCTGTGCCTGAATGTGATTCAACATAGTTTTTTTTAATGAATCTAACTGTTTTGACCCTTCAGTGAAAATGAAAACTAAGGGTGTAAGCCCACAGTTCTCTACAGCTGTGCCAGCAGCCTTATTATTGACAACAGACATGCTGAGACACAGGGAAAGAGGCTTGGAATTAGAATGGGACACAGGAAAGATGAGACATGGAAATTAAGTCAGGGGCTGATGTGTGCCCCTGTGATGATTTGTGGTTCTGGATCCTCTGAAAACTGAAGCAAGTGGCCATGTTGTGGAAAAATCTGCTGAAACAGCCTAACCACTGAAGTGCATGGCTACTCCATCTGCTATAGCGGAGTGTGGCTTAACTGGAAATGTACAGACTGCACTTTTGTTGATGGAAGCTAACAGCTGCCTTACTTTTTTACTGTCTTGACGTTTAGTTGGGAGAAAGAACGGCTGCCAGAGGAATGTGGTTGGACGATTCTGTGCTGTGGAAGCAATTTCCAGTGGTCACTCCTATCTCATTAGAAGAGATGCATTAGCATCACTCAACCAGTCTTACTCCATTACCTTCTGCTTCTAACATCTCGTACAGTGTTCTGGGAGATTAAATAAAAAGTTCCCACGCTTTTGCATGCAAATTATAATTTTTCTGTCACACTTTACACTTTTTGTCTAATGTGTAGAATAGTTATACAGATCGACTGAGTGCATTTCCTTTGCTTTCAGTGACAGAGTTGGAGCCTCCATTCAGTTTGATATAATCACTTAAGTGCTGGTGACCAGTGACCCAAATTATTAGACTTGTCAACACTGAGAACCAGCAGTTAAGGGTATTATTTGCATGTAGGAATTATTTAATTTGAAAAGAAAAGTGACGTAAATGTTATTGTGTTGAATACATTCAGGTAGAGCACTGTAATTCGAATGTTAACAAAGTTGATGCCTTTAAGTCTTTAAAAAATGATATAATGTTTACCTCAGACATATTTGCCTCTAAGGTTTTCNTTTTTTTGGAATGTTTGTGAAAGTTTTCATTGTCTTAATCATTTTAAGTGACACTAATTAAAATAATGTGGTCAAAGGTTGATTTGTGTACCATTACCATGTAACACCCTTTATGTTATTGTAACGGCATGTTTATTTCAAAAGGGTTCAGTATTTGGTGTGGTTCCTTTTAGACGAGAACACTAGATTTATTTTAAACTTGGAAAAAAAAGCAAAGGGCTACATAAATTAAAATTTTTTATATATGTGTCAAAAAAAGTTTCGTAATCCACAAGTACTGAATTTAAATGTAAATTGTATAATAGTTTGCATGGTTTACTGCAAAAATGTTTTTATCAGTGCACTATTTTAAAATTGACAATATGAAGACAGTACTGTTTGTGGAGTGTATAAATGCTGCATAATTTATTATCTGAAATCGACCTGATTTCAGATCAGTAATAGATGATGTTTTTTGCAGAGGTGTTTTCAGAAACCTATGTGTGTGACCAGTGTGAAATGAAGAAGAAAAACAGAAAGACAGAAAAAAAGGGAATGAATGGCCAATGTACAGCAAATCTGACCATGCTTCAAATGGAGATTTAGCTCACACATTTATGTCCTTGGGTCAGTGCAAATGTGAAAAAAGCCTATGTAAAAACTTTTTGTCTGGCACAAAAATCAGAGTTGTTGGGATTGTTTTTTTTGAGAACTGAAATTCACCTTAGTAATTTAATTTAAAAAATTTATATGAAAATGTAAGCTTTTTTAAGAAGCATGAGCCAGATACAACTGGCATTTTTCTAAATGTGCACAGCTCTATTTTAGCATGGATTACTTTCTTTTTTTTATGAGTGACATGCTGTACACTGCTATATATTTATCAGATATTGCTCCAAGGGGACAACACTTCACTGTTGTCAATATATTGTTATATATTCTAATATTTTGAATGTCCTTTCCTTTCCTGGTATTTTAAGGCTCAGAATCCTTTAAGTCTGTTCTTTGTAAACTCGCTATCCCCTATCTGTTCTGTACAGTTTTCTTGACTGTAACTGCTTGAGAATAAAACTATTTGTTCCTACAGTTGCTCTGTGTGTGCCAGTTCCCTGTCAGTCTGCTGCACGTTGCTCATGATCTGAACGCTTACAAATATTAGTTGCTAAATAAAACATTTTAGAAATTGTAATTCATTATTTCCATTGGGATTAAAGTGATAGGTCCTGGCAACAGATGCTCACGTGTCCCTTTGTGCACTATTTTTTTGGGGGGTGGGCACTAGTACGGTGCTTTGAGAGAATAGTGGGGGTGCAGATGTACACCTATTATTTTTTCACCCAACGTTAACTAGTTTTGGTAATTTATTAGAGATGAGAGACTTCTCACTCTCTCCCTCTGCATGCGCACACAGAGCAAAGTCAGCCTCGTCCTCTCTGGCACTTCTCCCAAGAACGTTACTGAGTGGCATTGGCAGATGCTTGGGAGCAGTTGCCTCTCTGATTTCTTAGCAAGTCGTATGAAAAGAGAGAGGGAAATATAAATGCTATAACATTACCATGCATTGATGTATTTGACAAATTCATCGGCTGGTGGTCGGTTTGGGAAGAAACAAGAATTAAATCTGCACACGAGATTGATTCCAACCAAGGTTTAACCGAGTGTGTAGAGTTTTCAGTTTACTTGTACTCAGAAATGATGGTTTTATAAAAGAGCACTCCGGTATTGTTACGTGTATTTTTAAGGTCTTTTGACTTTCTTCAATGCTCGTATTTTGTAATTTACATCACAGCACATCTGTCTCACTAACTGACCTAGTTTCAGCATAAAATGACATCGTGTTTACCTCAGATCTATTTGCCTCTTAGCTTTTTTTTGGAATGTTTGTCTTTCAGTGTGTTAATCATGCTCACTAATTAAATTCCTGTGGTCAAAGGTTCAATCCCATTACCTTCATGCTTCACATTTAATTCTCTTCCCGATTTTCAGTTTAGTACAACAGATTCTGTGAACCAGACCTATTCTCCAATTTCTAATCGTGTTCTTGAATGCAAATATATTTGAACAGGTGTGTGTGTACATTTTTTTTGAAAAATCAGAAAAATCTAATGTCTGACTTACAAGAAAGGTAAATAGAAACCGAATAAGCAATCTGTTCAAGTCACCATGTCGCAAAATACATACAAGCACTGGAGAAGATGGAATGAAGAGTCAGATCCTGGTGGAAAGGGGACAAAGTACAATAAACTCCAGATAGCTCGACTCTGGCTTATTAGTAACCAGCACTTAAATCACCAAGCTGACAACACCCAAGCCACATTTATTTATGGATTTATACATATGCCTAACTCACCACTCCAGATAACTCATCACTGAGCCCTTTCCCTTTGGGGTGACGATGTATCAGGAATATGACGATTATTGTATACAAGAATAATCAAAGGTGCAATTTCCAGAATGGAAAGAAGATGGGTTAAGATGTATAAAATACAAAAAGGTAGTGTTTACAAGTTGAATGAAGAATATTTATTTGGATGAAACCAGGGAAGTACGATTAGGGGCATCAATTTAAAATAGAAAATGTATAAGATGAGTCATAAACTCAGTGAACAATAAAAGTTACCAACAATCTGAAAGGTCATGTAGTACTGTACAGGCAAATTTATCAAGTGAACTTGATAAGTTCAAGTGAAAAATTAATTTTGGTGCTGTATGAAGTGAGGTAAGGCTGGAGGATTAGTTTTGTACCCACCTGTTTCCCCCATAAAATTTAGTCAATTCACTTTGCAGTATATTCTGTGAAGGACTCAATGACGTGATAAGGCGCCATATCAAATGCAAGGGTTATTATGATTATTATTTTCTGATATAGCGCTTCACATTTCTTAGTGGTACAGTTCTTGGTGGTATAGTGCCTTCTGTACTGAATATTATTTCCACAGTGAACACCTCAACAGTTAATTCCTAAAATTATATGTAAGAGTAGCTTATGACAATGAATGGTTTGATTAATAACAGCACAATATAATTTTTGATGTTAAAAATTAAGGCAGGTTTGAATAGAAAGTAAGCAAGGAAATTATTTAAAAAACAAAGTTTCAATTATTTCAAAAACAAAGTTTGAATTATTTTTTAAAAATTGGTCACTCAATCCACGATTGTTTATGGGACACTGCTGTGCGCAATTGGCTCCCACCTTTCACCCAAAAATATACAGTCAATTCACTTTACAGTATATTCTGTGAAGCGCTTTGAGACGTCGTGAACATGTGATAAGGCGCTATATTAAATGCAAGGATTATTATTATTATTAAGTATTAGTATTTAAACCAATTGACTTCCCTGGTGGTAATATCTTAACTGTCGAATGCTTATCAGGGCAATCTTGACCAAAGATCCTCCAGAGATAAATAAAAACATTGGGTATTCACTTCAGGGTTGTTTGTGGGTCTTTGTGCAAATTGGTTGCTCCAGTTGCCTGCAAATACAGTCACTAAACTTCACAGTAGTGCTATGAAGCACTTTGAGGCGTCTCGGCAATATGATAAGATGTTATATGAATTGCAAGAAATAATAGTATAGGTAAACTTGTGGGTGAAATAAGATAATGCTGTATTGTTTACTTCATAAAGCTTCTATATTTAGAGCAGTGCTGCCAAGGACAGGTGCCATCACTCATTGTCACTACTGTACTATTAAAGTGTAGTGTAGAAATTCTTCTCTGCAGAACAAACCGCTCTGGTGGTTAGCATAACAAATGTGGATCAGCACTTTCACATGGATCAATACTTGTGTAGTTATGTAAAATAACAGTAACGCTGCCTTAAACACTGTCTAAATGTTCAGATGACCTTGATGCTTTGTTCTTGTGGATTTATTTGACCTCTATTGTACAAAACGCCATTGACTGCCAGGCCTCCACACTTTGTTTCAAATGTGACTGGACTAGAAAATAGTTTTGATGATCTGGAATTAATTAAAACCAATCGATTTGGAGATGATTCCGGTTGTTCGGTTAAAGATAATTTTAGAAGCAAAATCAACCTAACCATAAAAATGACCTGCACTTCTCATCTATGAGTAATAGGTTTAGAATAGATATGATATGATCCTATTACAACACAAACACACATGATGCAATGGAACATCAGCTGAGCCTCACTATATGCTGTAGCTTTCTTGCCTGGTGTCATTCTGGTTATGATTTTACAATGTGACATTTGCGGGGCAAAAAGTAATAATTTGTTTTCGTCAGCCGGATGTCTGACACGTTTAACAGTATCCAATTCAAACTGAGATTTCCTTGCATCCCACTTACATATGGAAATTCCAGAGATAGATCGTTGGAATGGAATGGACTCTCTCCCTGGAGGGACGCATCCTGCTTACCTAATTCCGGAAAGTATTAGGCGCAGGTTGGCAAGAGACAAGGCTTGGGGACCCCAGAGTGTGTGTTGGAGTCTAACCAGCTAAAACCCCATAGCTTCTCATTAATAACGCTGTCTGGCAAGCTTTCTTTAACCCTGATCTCCAGCTTTTCTTCACCTGGATTCCATGTCAAATATCTCCCTTAAGTGTTGTTGCCATAGTTGGCTACATTCAAATCTTGAGTGATGAAAGTGGAAAGACAGACTTTAGGGGATAGAGTAAGGAGCTATTAGTGCAGTTACACCAACAAAATCTGTTGGATTACAATACATGTGTTAGAATTACACATGATTACAAGGGAAGTTTGGATGAAGAAAGTCTTTTTTTATTGGTGAGCTGGGTTTTCCCCACTCATCCCTACTAATCCGAATTAAACCAAATACTGTTCTACAACTGGGAATTCAGGTTGCCCCTCCCCTGCCGCGGCAACTCTTAGCCCCTCCCAAATCTGTGTCCCCAGTCGTCAAAAGGCGGCACAGACCCGATTCCTTGCATTAAGACCACCCGAACAAGTCAAGTGGCCGGATCACCACTCCGACCCGGGCAAACCGGGGAGGCTTGGAATGATGGATGGCAACACTTCTCAAAGACCTCAAAGGATGAGCACACTACAGTAAAGTGGCTCCACCTGCCATGAATAAATCATCAGGAGGCTCAGATCTGCAGTGGCTAGACCCATCCGAGACCTCAAAGGGAGAGCTCACTGCCAGAATTGCACAGCCCTAGGATTAACTGATAAGAACAGATACTGTACTTGATCTTAGCCCAGAGGCGAAAAGAAGTGATCCTTTGGCTCATTTGATCACATCTTTGCAGAACAACCAACTAGTGTAGCTTCAAGCTATTTATTAAACCATTCTTGGCTGGTAACCTGTACAAAGAAATTGTACAGGTTACCAGCCAAAAACTTTTTGGCCTAAAATTGGGTCTACATTTCTGCAGTTCAGCTCATCCTTGGAATCTAGTTTCTAAAAAGGATCAGGAAACAGCAGGGGTCTTCTCATCAGCATTTTTCAAATGTGTCCCTTCCAAATGTGTTTGCTTATTAAGTTCCACAGTTTTCTGCTTACTGACTTCTAAAACAAATATTTTCGAACCCCAGAAACTTAAATTTTCGTGTAACTGATCTCAAACAATTTTTTGACACAAATTCAGCAATAAAATAAATATGAAAAATAATCATGAAAATTGCATGCTCTAAAGATCTTCAAATGTACAAGATACCTTCCATCTTGTACCTGCATAAAATTCCTTTTGCTGTTATGTGTTCTTTGAAATAGGTAGACCTAGCTGATCTTTTTAGTTTTTAAGTGAAGTGCATACAGTTGAAACTATGTGACTAATATAAGGACGTAATAAGGCGCTATATCAAATGCAAGGATAATTATTATTACTTCACAATTTTTAATACTAAGCTTATGATTTTCTGCTTAAAAAAGCAGACAGCCTGTCACATATTTCTGATTTCAACAGTGTGAAATATGATTATGGTGTAAATGCTGTCAATTTTTATTTTTTAAATCTGTTATTTGTGCAGCTCTATTTCAGAGCAGTGAAGCTGGTTCATTGTAGAAACAATCCACTTTCATAATGCCTTTAGTAGTGAGATTGTATTCCAGTATCAGATCACCAGAACCATTCTGTTTCTGCACAATAAGCACTGTAAGTGAGACTATTTCTCCTGAGCATTGTCTGATCTACATCAGTCTGATTTAGTTCGACATCTAATCTGGTGTCATTCAGGTAACTACAGTACTGTACATGCAGACTATTCTGTTTCAAAATCTGATACACATTGAAAGGCTTCAATTCATATTAATGGTCAAATGTGCCACAACAGTAATTCACAGAAATGATCAAGTATAATATACAGATCTGACTGCATGATTCAGGAAAAATTATGTCAATGTAATGAAAAACAAAGCAATTATTCTTTCAATATTGATGTGAAAATAATTATTCTGTCATCTGATTCATTGATTTATTGCACTGGAAATGCTATTTTAAAGAATAAATCGTAAGCTTTTTCATTCAAGGCAGGATGAGCACAGGCCTACTGTTTCCTCTTGGATGTTAAAGTTAGGGCTTATTATTCCCCAATCAAGGGTAGTAGGGCTGGACGTCCTGATGTCAGCCTGGCTCAGTTAGTAGCCGTCTCACCTCTGAGTCAGAAGGTTGTGGGTTCAAACCCCGTGTTGGGACTTAGAACTCACAGTCTAGTGGATGGTCCAACTGGCAGCCCTCAGGCTGATTCCATCCACACCAACCACTCAGCTACAGGACTCCATATGCGGCCTGCGGACGTTTCTCAAATAGGGCATCTGGCCCTCAGCAGCCAAAAGGTTGGACCTCCCAACATCATGGTGTAGATGATGGGTGAAGAGAAGTCCAGGCTTTGATGTGATGCCACCTGTTTTCAAAT